CTTTCTTTCTTTCTTTCTTTCTTTCTTTCTTTCTTTCTTTCTTTCTTTCTTTCTTTCTTTCTTTCTTTCTTTCTTTCTTTCTTTCTTTCAGATTTGTTTATTTAGGCATATATAAACTGGAGTACAGGCCATAAATGTGGGGCAGGGGCAAGAGGATACACCAGAGACAGAGTGGGGAACAGAACAGAGGACTGACCGAAATACACTAGTGAGAGGAGCAGCAGGCAGGACAGGTGAGGTCTGCCACACACTTCTCTGTTGCAGGATGGACTTTGTGCTGCAGTAGCTGCAGATTCCTTCATAGTTCAGGCAGGGCCCCCTATTGTTTTTCTGAAGTTATTACTTCTTCACCAACTCTCCCTCAGGGTTCTCACCTTCTGATCAAGCCTACTGGGCAAGATCCCTTTCACACTGACCCTTGACTGCTTGGGTTTCCCATCTGGACCTTGGGATTCTTGTGCCTTTGGCACATTTACTTCCTAGCACATCACAGATGTAATTCTTTGTCTCTGCTGCCTCAGACTGAGTCACATGTTCATCGTTTGATTCTCAAGCAGGTAGAGAATCTCGTGTAAGTTGTTCAGTTCTCTATACTCCCAAATTTAGAGGAAACTGGCATTCTTTTGAACAGCTGGAAAAACAGCATGGAGTCTCTGCTCACTCTTATGTAGGTCTAAGTCTAAATTTGAGGAGTGGGGTACAACTCACAGCAATCCTATCAGCAAATCATTCCAAGGAGATCCCTATACAGACCCCACTCCGGCCTTAGTGATACCTGTCAAGAATTTTCACATACCCTTGAAATTAGTAAACATTTCACATGCCGGAAACGTGTTAGTTGTAATTTATTTTGACATTCTACATATACAGTATCTGTCATAATTTACTTTGGTAACTGACACTGGCCATATATTGACCTTTTAGTTATAACTTTATAATTTTTTTTAATTTATAAAATATTCTCTGCATTCCTCCATAGAGTATTATGAGAATCAAGGCAGAAGGGACATAACTGGCCTTAAGATGCTTATAATACAATGAAATATCAAAATATAATAGATGGAAATACAGTGTAATAGTACATTCCTTCTGAACATACATTATATAATAATTATAATAGGCAATATAATTAGGAAAATGTGTGAGAGGCAAACACAGTGACATTAAAGAATGATATATCAAAGTTTTAGAGAAAAGGCATTGAGGAAGAGATAATTATAAATTTTCAGCTGTGAGAGCTAAATTTAAAATAAATTTAAAAAACTTTGACTACACCTCTCATAGGTATAAAATACTTGTTTCTGCCCTCAATGAGTTTAATGAAGAAGTGAGACAAATTTGTGAAAAATTAGACAATAGTATAAATCAAAACAATGCTGAACAAAATATTAAATGGGTTATCTGAATTCTTAGAGAAACATATAGACAACAGCTGCCCTGGTGTCTCTGGAGAGTGACTGTCTTCAGAATGGGCTAGTTTGGAAAGATTTTGTGGACAGAAGTTTAATAAGTTTTCACAAGTGGTTCAGACTAACAAAGAGATATGAGGAAACAACCAAATAAACAAAAACTCATCGTGGATTAGCAAAAGACATGTAGAGCTGACAGTGAGTTTGGCAATACAGTTGCCATGGAGGATTATGGAGGAAGATCAAGTCACAAAGATTAACAGTAGCCAGCGTGGAGAAAGTCTGGGAATCTAAAGTTAGTATTGTTCTATATTAATTTATTTGTGTTATATTTTATCAATGAGGAAAGAATAATCGTAAATGTTGGATGGAAAGTCCATCTGGCAAGTCATAAAGATGAATGCTACCAAGATATATAATAGAGTGAGTGGGGGAAGGCACAGAGGCAGGAAGACCCGCGGGACAGCTACTGGAGTTGTCCACACCAAAGCTTACCAGAGTCTAAATCTAGAAATCGTTCCTGATGCTTAAGAGTACCCTTTTATTTATCTTTTAGCTATTGTCAACTGGTAATATTTCATTTACTAGTGCTTACTGTATTTTTTGAAAATTCAATTTACATTGGTCTTTCACAAAATAATTTTGAATAAATTGATCATATAATTCCTTTAAACAGGGATGGAGATTTTAAATTTTAACATCATTAAAAAGCAAGCATAGGCCCTCCCTGGTGGTGCAGTGGGTTAAAGCACAGCACTAAGAAGCTAAAGCCGCTTCCGCATGAGTTCGATCCTCGCCTGTCCTGGAGGTGACCACATGGCGTGGCAGACCTCTCCTGACCCACCCACTGCTCCCCTCAGCAGTGTACTTCATGGATCTGCCTGTTCTGCTCCCCGCTCTATCTCTGGTGTAGCCTCTCGCCGCCACTGAGCCTCTGGCATGTACCCCAGTTCTGTATGCACAAATAAATAAATCTTTAAAAAAAAAAAAAAAGGAAGCATATTAGAGTCAATAGTCTGAAGAAAACAAAATAGAATTACAAATACTAATTTATGATTTTACCTAGTTTAAAATCAGTTCTATTGATATTTGCCATGTAAGAGAAGGCCAGACATTTTTATTTGATGAACTCAGAAAATTAAAATGGGAAAAAAGTTGAAACTTCTCTTATTGGCTACCTTATTGAATCTGCAATGAGCAAGATCTGCTGTCAATCAAGATAAGAGGATTAGGTAATATTTATGGGCTTACCTGTGTCAATCAGTCATTTTATTTGGGCATTTCAGTTTACAATGGAATTGGTTATTTATGTCTACATATTTTTAGTATGAGGTTTATTGCTTGAAGTTTCTGCCATTTTGTTTATATGAAGTCATTTTATTTAAAAACTATCACTTCACTCTTAATTTAACATATGATTCCAAGATTATATTTCAAAAATAATCATTATCAGAACACATTCTACTATTACTATAATAGTATTTTTATCATAGTATCTTATTAATATCAGAAAAAAATGGACAAAAGGCACAACTTTAATATAAATTACAACAGCTATTAAAATGACTTGCCATAATTCTCACTTTAAAGTCATAGTCAATAACCTAATGGAAAAGTACTTTTTTAGAAAGTTATTTCTATGAAAAATTATATATAAATAAGTAAGCTTTACTTCTCTTTATTATAAATGACTTAGGGATTTTTATTTTAATAGAATTTTGATAACCAAGTTCTAATTATGTCTGAAATAAGGATAAAGAATGCACTATATTATCAGAAAGTAGTTAATGAACTTTGCAATCTATATTTTTAAACACAGCTTTTATAATATATCTTTGTCCTTGGTTGTGTTCTGATCACTTACAGTGTGACCTCTGAAAAAGTAAAATTTAATTGTAATCAACTGAGAGGAAATGATGGATACCTAAAACCTAACCATCCTCTCTAGGAAATAAAAAAATGGAGGTAAGGGAATTGATGCAAGGCAATGGGTGTTTCTGTCTTTTTTAAATAATATAATAGCTTGTTTTATATCATTTTTGTGCCTTTTTTCATCTCGGTTGTAATCCTCATGGGCTTCCCACCACCAATTCACTGTCAATGGGTTTTTCTTAAGCACCCATTAGGACCTGGAACTACATGCTTTGAACAATCTATTTGTAACTGGGTGGCTGAAGCCAAGAACTGTTGCAGGTGGTGCCCTTCCCTGAGGCCAACTGTCTTCACCAGCAACCCCCTCAGGTGCACCCAGTTATGTTTGGCTAATTAATATATATATATATATATATTATTATTATTATTATTATTCATACAGAACTGGTATATAGGCGAGGGTTGCGGGGGGTGGGGGCGGTGGCGAGAGGATTCACCAGAGACAGGATGGGGAGCAGAACAGGCAGATCAACGAAGTACACTGCTGAGGGAGCAGTGGGAGAAACAGGAGAGGTCTGCTGTGCCATGTGGGTCACCTCTGGGGTCTGGGATTGAACTCACAGTGAAGTAGCTGGGGCTACTTGCAGTGCAGTGTTTTAACCCATTGTGCCACCAGGGAGGTCCCATGTTTGACTAATTTAATCCTTAAAATAGCCCCATAAGGAAGTAATTATTTCCCCCCTCACTAGAGATATTTTGGAATGTGACAAAATTATAAAGATGTTGGAGCTTATTTTATTTAGTATATTCTGCTTAAATATTCTCTACTTAGAAATGATGCATCCAGCATGTTCTTTCTGTAGAAATTATGATAGAATCTCAGGATTGGAAGAAGCATCAGAAGTCAGTGAACTCTAGAATTCACCTTTTCTAAAATTTTCTCTATAACATTGTCAGAATGATGACTCTTTCTGAATTTGCAGATTCAATTTCAGGAAAATTCCCATTTCCTAAACCAGTTAATTCTACGCTGGATCAGCATGAACTAAGTAAAAGAGTGAGAATGAGGGTAAATATGACATCTTCTGACATTTTATCACCGATTCAGTTTTCTGTAGTGGGACCAAATGAGATTAAAATGTTCACAAGATGGTCTTTCAGTGATCTGAAGACCTTTCTAATGTGCCTGGTATCTGCTTTTCTCCAAGCATCTTTATTATTATGAATAATATCCCTAGAGATATGATTTCAAATCAATTTACTATTAATTAGTTTTTCCAACAGCAGTGTACATCTTACACCTCTTCTTAAAGGACTCAACCAATAAAAACATTTGAGATAAAGTCTGGAGTTCAAGAGGGCATATCCCTTCCTTTGACCCAGATACCTTCATTCACAGAAACAGTCCCAGAGTCACATATAGTTTTGCACGTCACATCACCATGTGACTTTTCACACAGTAGATGGAATCAAATCTTCCTCTGGGCTCAGTATTTTTATCTGAGCTACATTCTGGTTCTAAACAAATTTCAGGTCTAGAGGGTGTATATATCTCTTGAACCATAACTTTAAAACAGTGTAATAACAAATAGAACAGAGGAATGGATACTGAAGAAACATTCACATGCCTTATGCTGTACACATACATAGTCTTTTTATAAAAGATCTAAATAAATATAGTGGTTTTACTTTTTACTTAATTTTCATTGAGATTGACATTGATTTACAACACCATATGATTCAGGTAACTCTGAGGTACAATTTCACCTGTATGTGACCACGCTACACTACCACACACACAACCCCACATTCCTCCAGCACAGCACCCTCAGCCGCCTTTCCTCTTTGCTTTTGACCTTCTCCTTCCCCCTCTGGCATCCTCAACTTTACAGTCAGATTTCTAGGGTTTATTTGACACTTTGTTTCGCTATATTCCACATATGAATGACACCATCCCATATGAGTGACACCATCCTATAGCCACAGACACAATCTTAATAAGCAAATACATCATCAATGGGAACTCTACATTTTTCCCTGAAACCACTGACATTGGAATGGCCCACATAAAAGAGCTTTCAACATAACACATTTTTATAATTCTTGTGGGAAAATTGTTTTGTTTTAATCATTTTGCATTAAATATTTCAGTTATATTGCATATTTTCTTGCATTTCTCTTAAAAAATGTTGCATGAATGATTAATGTATGATTTATGTTAATGACTCATATGTCCTGTGCTATTTTGCAATGAAGTCTTAAGAGATATGTGCTAATTTTTGTTCCTATTTTCAGTGTCTCCAAACTTTTTACTATTTTGTGTCACCTCTTTGTATTATTTTACTTATATGCACATGTTGTAGAGAAAAAGACATCACAGCTGTTCAAGGCATAGAGTTCTAGGTGCTGGTAGGTATTTAACAAACATCTGTTTGTCTTCCTAAATTCCATACCTGCATTTTTGGCAGGGATTAGACAGATTGGAGCACCCACCCCAGCTTGACTCAGTTTCACTACCCGTGAACTGAAGTTAGCAATCCACTCTTTGTCGTTTATTACACACATAAAATGGCCACATAGATGAAGCTCATCACATAGTGTCTGGCACATACTTGGAACTCAGTATGTATGTGTACAGCAAAAGGCACGTGAATGTTTCTTCAGTATCCATTCCTCAGTTCTATTTGTTATTACACTGTTTTAAAGTTATGATTTGAGAGGCACATACACCCTCTAGACCTGAAATTTGTTCAGAACCATAATGTAGCTCAGATAAAAATACTGAGCCCAGAGGAAGATCTGATTCAACCTATTGTGTGAAAAGTATTTTGAGATCTTCAAAGGAAAAACAAAATAGCTGCAAAAAGAAAAAAATGCTTTGCGTTTCAGTTCTATGTTTCACTTGATTTCATACTTCAAAAGTCACACTTTGAAGCTTAGTGATATAGGTAAGTGATTTCTGGTTTTTAAAGACTGACAAGTAGAAAATACAGCATTGCACATGCTCCTGCTTGTTGTCTTTACTTTGAAAAATAATTTCAGAGAAACTCAATCCAGTTCAGCCACAACTATCCTAATTGGCTTTGATCGGTAAATCATCAGATAGGGCTCTGCTCTTGCTTAGTCCTTTTTCCCTTTTCTTGTCAAAAGTAAATGATTCAACACTTGAGTTATGGTGAATTACAAGGACCTGCTTTGTACTGGGTGGGATGTGTTACTATCCCACATTATGTTTGCTTTCTCTCCGCCATGGTTAGAATCAACTTTACATTCCTTGGTCGTGCTTGTTGTCATTTTCCGCAGTTTGTTATTAGTTTTTTTTTCTGCAGAGCCAAAACATCATGTCAGAGGCTGAGGAAGTTACTGACTTGGTGACACCTTACATTCAAGGCCTTCTACAATCTGCCCCTCATTTGCCTCACAACATTACTTTCCACTGCCAACTACATCAATGGTTTGTATTAAAAAATTTTTAGTAGAATAAAAATTAAAACACTTTCAAAGCTTTCTCCCTCTCTCCACTTCTTCAAAATCCCAATCCTGATTTAGAATTCAGCTCAGTTGGTATTCACCCTCTGGAATGACTTCCCTGGAAACTCGTTGGGCTTTGTCCTCAGATGTCCAGTACAAGGAGTCCAGCATAGACTGAATTGTATAGTTATTGTTTTTGTTTTGCATTTGTGACTTGCTTTCTTCTAACTGTAGTAAGATTTTTAAATATGCACACCTCTTTCTATTTTTACTTTCTTATACTATAATGTCTGATATAGCACTGCACTGTATACTGTAAACTGTACTATATAATAGTACCCAGGAGATGGTTTTTTTGATGAAGTGTATGCAATACTACAATAAATTTTCAAACTTAAAACAACCATGCATCCAATCTTTCTTCATGGATAAAAGAACAGTCTCATGTCCTCCAAGTCAACTGGAAGGGTGCTGACACTAGCAACCACAGATGTCAAAAGCATCCATGAATGGACATGACCCATTTATAAATTTCTTGAAAATACACGAAATACTTTGTGATGTGTTGTTATTGCATTTTTCTGGGGAAAAATAAGAATAACAAGTAGACTTTAGAGTTTAATATCATGGTGATGGTTCACAGGTGACATGGTGGTAGGAGGACTTTGGAGACTGCATTGGAAAAGAAAAACCAATCACTGTACAAAATGAACAATGATGTGATAAAGTAAGTAAAAAGGAATAAATTTTAATATCATAAGGTCTGTTTAGTGTGCGTGTACATGAGGGAGTAGTTATTTCTAAATGCAGATTCCTAGGAAGCATCTATAGTCTTAAAATCTTATAAATCTGGATTTGGCCAGAGCTCTGAACTTCTTTTTTAATATTCCAGGTAATTTTGATAACGGTGCTCCTTGGGTCTGCTCTAAAATTTCAAGTTTTATTTCTCAAGAAAGTCCAAGAAACTCTGACTAAGGAAAATTATTTCATATATACAAATTGTATCTTCTAATTTAATGGGTTAACAGGGGGACCTGGCTTTAGGTTGTCATTATTGTCCTTCAGCAATGACAGTGGTTTCAGAACAAGCAAATAACTTGATATAAATTTCTTGATAAAAGTCTAGAACAGGGCCCTCCCTGGTGGCAAAGTGGGTTGGAATGCAGCTGGCTGCGGCCACCTTGGTGTGAGTTCAATCCCCAGCCCTGGAGGTGATCCACATGGCACAGCAGACTTCTCCTGTCTCACTTGCTGCTCCCCTTAGCAGCATACTTTATCGATCTGCCAGTTCGGCTCCCCACTGTCTCTGATTAATTCTCTCACCACCCCTCTACCCCTGGCCTGTACCCCAGTTCTGTATGCATAAATAAATAAAATCTTTTTTTAAAAAAAGTCTGGAACTACTTCACCAAAGTACTTCTTTCAAATTACTATTTGCTAACATACTGTGGGGGTCATACCATATGCTGCCTATTAGCTGATTACATTTCATTATGTCCTTAATAAAAGAAAAAGAACATATTAAATCTGCAACAGGGAATTTCCCTCCACAGCCTGTCATTCCTCTAATCATTTCTATATTTCCTCCTGAGTACTTCTTAAGATTTTAAATATCTTTTTGGTATATTGTAGCTATACACACATAGACTGACTTAGCTGCTAATTGTCTTCCATACATTAATGAGTAGCCTATGCAATAAATATGGAGAAGGAAGGAAGTGTTTGGAGGCCAAATATCCCAGAAATAGTAACTAAATGTATGATACTGCAAGAGTCATGTAGTTTCTCTCAGTTTTGTCTTGTCAATAGCAAAACAGAAGTGACCACCTTTGTACTGTTTACCTCTAGATGATGTGAAAATTGAATAAAGCAATTATGATGTAAATATTCTAGAAAATACAAGGCACTCTACAATGAAAGTGTAATGCATTTCAATGATTTAAACTTGAAATTTTGGTTAAAAAGTAAAAATTTCCTCATTTTATAAATCAAGATAACAAAACACCTATTTGAAATGTTAGATTTATGTTAGAGATAAGTCTATATTATGCAAATCCTAAAATCTATTTAACTAAAATATCTTAAATATTATACCCTTAAGTATTATACCCATTATTATCAATAATATCTACTACTAAGTTGGTACTGTATACAGATCAT